GTGTTAGCTAATGGAGCGTTAATTAATTAATCACTATTTAACGGAATCCAGGGTGACCTAAGCCTCTTTCTGAACTTTTTTTTTCATTATGGCAATGCCTGTCGTCCCAGTTTTCATCCTTGAAATTGCATGCTTTCTCCCCACTTACAAAGTGGACTCAAGTCCTTCCTTTGGGCATTGATATAGATGAGTGATACTAGCTTAATATTTACATATTCCATATTCATGGCTCCGAGGGAAGTGCAGCCTGCTGAGATTGTTAAGCATAGACTTCTGTCATGTAAGTAATATATGAACTTGCAGTCCTCGCCTGCCCACCATGACCAGTGGATGAAAAATTGCCTTCAACTGTCATGCTGGCAGACCTCAAGCCATGACTCACTAACATAATCCCCTTAAAATGATGTTATGAAGCTGAAGCAATATGATATGCACCACGCACCAATATTATCTTTAACAGTACCACGCAGCCAATACACAAAGATTCTTACCGTGAAAATGGGCACAATTGAAAAGAACATCATGAATATTCTGTAATTTTGAAAGGACATAAAGGCTTTGCACAAAAAGGTGAATGGTGGAATCTCAGGTATCAGCCAACAGGTGGAGGAGTACCTGAGCAGGGACCATGAAGAGCTCATCACGTGATGGTCAGTCCGACTGGCCTTGAGTTCCGAGTCTCAGCTTGTACCTCGGGTGAACTCATCTGCACTGGACCCACTGCTGGATGGTCAGCAAACACAGCAGTAATAACTGCAAGCAGCCTTGCAGATTGGCTCTGTTAAACTGTGTGCATGGATTAAGAATTAGTAAGTGTTCTAACTGGATGGGGTGGATTATTCAGAAGCCAAAAAGAGACATTTGAGATAATTTGCCCCATCTCGTCGTGTGTTTTATGGATTCATTTATTCAAACGAATGTGAGGGCGCTTCAAAATGTTCATGGAAAAATGGAGTTAAAACGTAAATTTTGGGGCCAGAGCTCTGGTGTAGTGGGCTGGGCCTCTGCCTGCATCCCATATGGGCACCAGTTCTGTCCCGGCTACTCCTCTTCCAATCCAGCTCTCTGTTGTGGCCTGGGAAGGCAATGGAAGATGGCCCAAGTGCTTGGGCCCCTGTACCCATGTGGAACACCTGGAGGAGGCTCCTGGTTCCTGGCTTCAGAACAGCTCTGCTCCAGTCATTGAAGCCATTTGGGGAGTGAACCAGCAGATGTAAGACCTCTCTCTCCACGTCTCCTTCTCTCTATCTGTAACTCTGCCTCTCAAATAAATAAATAATCTTTTTTTTTTTTTTTAAAAAAGGTAAATTTAGGAGTGGATGTTTTGCGTATCAGTTAAGACGCTGCTTGGCAAGCCTGCATCCTACACAGGATTGCCTAGTTTTAGGTCCTGGATCTACTGCTGACTCCAGCTTCCTATTAATATCCCCCCTGGGAGGCAGCAGCTGACAGCTCAAATAGTTAGATCCTTGCCAGTCTCATGGTAGACCTGGACTGAGTTTTAGAATCCTACTTTCAGCCTGTGCTCAGCTCCAACCATTCTGGACCTTTGGGGAGTAAGGGATTAAACTAGCAGATTGGAACATTTTCTCTCTCTCTCTTTTTCTTTCTGGCTCTCAAATAAATAAATTTAATTTAAAAAGATAAGTTTATATTGATACAAAAATTTTGAAATCTCTATAGTTTTCTTCATAACACACATCTTTCATAAACTTTTTAATACTTGGATGCATGGATTTCTAAATATTGTAAAATACAAGGCACGTGGGGCCGGCGCTGTGGCGTAGTGGGTGAAGCCGCTGCCTGCAGTGCCGGCATCCCATATAGGCGCTGGTTTGAGTCCTGGCTGCTCCACTTCTGATCCAGTTCTCTGCTATGGCCTGGGAAAGCAGTAGAAGATGGCCCAAGTCCTTAGGCCCCTGCACCTGCGTGGTGAACCTGGAAGAAGCTCCTGGCTCCTGGCTCCTGATCGGTTCAGCTCTGGCCATTGCTGTCATTTGGAGATTGAACCAGCAAATTGAAGACCCCCCCCCCTCTCTCTCTCTGTGTGTGTGTCTGTGTGTGTGTAACTCTCACAAGGCACCCTTGAGATGCTAGTGGAAGGTGGGGAGAGGAGGACTCAGCAGGGTTGGGGAAGTTCCCTGAGGTCATACAACCACCAGGCTAGTCAAAGAGTCTTGAGTCCTAGTACAATGCTAGGTGCCACATCATGGAAAAACTCTGGGGTAGAGAACTCACATTCAAAATCAACTTCTATGTGGAGGTTTGTTAAAGCTCCCTAAGAGTTAAGACCTCTCTATAGGCCGGCGCCGCGGCTCAATAGGCTAATCCTCTGCCTTGCGGTGCTGGCACACAGGGTTCTAGTCCCAGTTGGGGCGCCGGATTCTGTCCCGGTTGCTCCTCTTCCAGGCCAGCTCTCTGCTATGGCCAGGGAGTGAGTGCAGTGGAGGATGGCCCAAGTGCTTGGGTCCTGCACCCCATGGGAGACCAGGAGAAGCACCTGGCTCCTGCCATCGGATCAGCGCGGTGCGCCGGCCGCAGCGGCCATTGGAGGGTGAACCAACAGCAATGGAAGACCTTTCTCTCTGTCTCTCTCACTGTCCACTCTGCCTGTCAAAAAAAAAAAAAAAAAGACTTCTCTATAAATATTCTCTGTAAATATACATTCAAAAGGTACTTGATTGAGTGCTATTGAGTCTACTTAATAAGCAACATACCAGATGCTGGAGACATAAAGTCATGTTCTAGTAGGGCCCAAAGCAATTTAGGCTCAGCCTCCTGGCAGTGGGCTATGTCCTATTGCAGAGACATGCTCTGGTTGCCATGGCAGCCTGGATGTGGGACCAAAGCCGCCCTAACGGAGAGATAAGTTTTGAAGTACAAGTGGGCATTAGAGGAACTCGGGACAAGTGAGACTTTTCAGGAATGGGCAGCACGTGAGCTGCATTTGATGTGATTAAGATGTTACTTAAAAAGGACTGACATTTTCTCAGGAGTGCCTGAGAGCAGTGCACCTGATACCTATAGAACCACGTGTTTAGTTTCAAATGTTCGGCTCCTCTGTCCAACAAGTTGGAGAAACCTTGACAGAAGACAGATTCTAGCCTGGGGAATGAGGTGATGCAGCCAACGTGGGAGTAGATCTGAAAGCACCACGTGCCAAAGTCCCAGTGAGTGGTGCCAATGGCTAAATTGTTCCACCAGAAACATTTCTCTGAATTGAAAATCCAAATGCAGCATTAGCCCTCCTTTAAGCAACAAACCTGAAAAGTTATTTTCAGGTAAATGTAAAATGTATTTAACATTCAAATTTCGTGAAGATATGTGTAACATGGTGATTTCTAGAAAGAATTTGTTTATTATTTGAAAAGCAGAGTTACAGAGAGAGAATCTTGCATCTGCAGGTTAACAGCTAAAATGACCTCAGCAGCTGGGGCTGGACCAAGCCAAAGCCAAGAGCCAGGAGCTCTGTCCTGGTCTCCCATGTGGGTGACAGGGGCCCAAGCACTTGGGCCATCTTCCACTGCTTTTCCAGGTACATTAGCAGAAAGCTGGATTGGAAGTGGAACAGCCGAGACTCAAACAGGCACTCATATGAAACACTGGCATCGTTAAGAGGCAGCCTAAGCTACTGTGCCACTATGCCAGCCCAATAATATGGCAATCTCACTAGTGGTTTAATCCTGTCTAGGACATAATTGCTTTCTGGGGCTTAAGAACAGGGTCGAATTCACATTTAGCACTAATTAAACACATTATCGAATAAAACCAGGCCAAAAACATACATTCAAAGGCTTTCTAAAAATCAATTGGAAAAGCCTTTTGATGTAGGCTGCTGACAAACACAAGAAAGGCAGAGAGGCCAGTGTAACATAATTAGCTGGTTTTATGCAGCTCTTGTATCTTTTAGTTCACAGGCACACTGTTAGATGACAGAGAGCAGGCATGGCTGGTGCCTCACAAGTGAAAAGTGAAGCTGACCTTCTCCTGCAGTTCACCCACTCCAAGACATCATTAATGGAGACACGCAGTATTGTTTTAGGGGCTGCTACCATTCAGCCTGTTGACCCTTAAGAGAAACAAGCATGACTGGATAAAGAAACAAAGAGGTTTTTGGAGGGCTTGCTCACAGCTGCACCCAGTAAAGATGAACCAAGCAGTCTTGAATTTGTGTTCTGAGGTCTTGGAGATTTCAAACAGGTTTTGGGAGCAAGGGCTGTCCGTGGAGAGGGGATTATACAAGTTGTTTGCCAGGAATTGAGGCTGGTGCAGGCCGGGAGCATTCTCTCTGGTCTGTAAGGGACTGTGTGACTAAGGACTGAACATGAAGCCGTTCTCAGTAGGGAGAGGAGAGAGGGACAGGAACAGAGATCCCTGGGACAGTGGGCTGAGGGGCCCAAGGACCTGATGGCTGTCCATAGGATGGGGATACTCCACTGTAGCTCCCAGCGTGTGACCAACAGGATGTGGAGAGCCTGGAGCCTGGAGAGGCCTCAACATATGCTGAGTGGGGCCAACACTTGCCTCGCCTGGCATCCCATATGAGAGTCCTGGTTGCTTCGCTTCCAACCCAGCCTCCTGCTAATGCACCTGGGAAGCCGGCAGACGATGGCCAAGTAGTTGGGCCCCTGACATCCATGTGGGAGACCCAGATGTAGTTCCTGACTCCTGGCTTCAGCCTGGACCAGACCTGGCTGTTGTACCCTTCTCAGGGAGTGAACCAGAGAAAAGAAGATCTCTCTCTCTCTCTCTCTCCTCCCTCTGTTGCTGTGCTTCCACATAAATAAGTCTTTAAAATATATATTTATATATAAATATATACATAACAGATGTGTTGTGGTCATGGCTGCAGTCTTGTCCTCTAGCTCAAAGTTTTGGGGATGTCTCAGTCTTTTGATTTTTAAGAATTCTCAAGCCATAATGTGATTTTTTTATCACTTAGAATTTTGCAAAATTTCCTACACATTGAAAGAGATCTTTTAGGCATACTTAGACCTTGGTTTTTATCATAGATCACTTCTGTGACTACACAGAAAACAGACAAGATACACTGACTTTGGTATTCCTAAAACTCCCACACAGTTATCAGGTCATTCACTGTACCTCAATGTTATTTTTCTGAATCCCATTGTGTCTGTGGCAATTTTTTAAACTTTTCTGAAGTTGTCATTTGTTGTGAATTTACATCCTTAATCAATATTCCGTTTCCTATCTAATTTGGGCTTCTTTTTTTCTGGAAGACTATTCCTGAAGTCCTCTGACATTTCAGCCCCACAGAACCTGTTCTGCCCACACAAGGAGGCCTGGCCCTCCTTGTTACTGGGGTGGAGTGGTGGGAACCATGCTCATTACTGATAATGTCATAGAAAACTTTTAGGACTTTATTAGAATGTAAGAAAACCTCTTTTGAATTTGTGGACTTTTCCTTGTATGAACTGTTTTAAGACGTGGAAAATTTTTCCACGAGCTACCTTCTGGCAGTGTTCATTTTTTTAAAAGATATATTTGTTTATTTGAAAGGCACAGTTACAGAGAGAGAGAGAGAGAGAGAGAGAGAGAGAGAGGATAGAGATGGGGAGGGAGGGGGGGATAGAGATCTTCCATCTGCTGGTTTACTCCCCAAATGGCTGCAACAGCTTGGGCTGGGCCAAGCTGAAGCCAAGACCAGGAACTCTATCTGGATCTCCCATGTAGGTGCAAGGACCCAAGCACTTGGGTCATCTGCTGCTTTCTCAGGCACACTAGCAGGGAGCTGAATTGCAAGTGGAGCAGCCAGGACAAGACCAGCACTCACATGGGACGCTGTTGTCGCAGGCAGAGGCTTAATCAAAGGATTAATGCCAGCCCCAGCCATGTTCATGCGGAACCTCACTTCTGCTCCACTTCCTCACCCTTCCAGGCTGCGTGTAGTAGGACAGATTCCTCTCATAACACCTTTATGTGCATCCGCACAGTTATAGGTAGAATACCCCAGAAGCCCCTCCTGCACTGGAACACCTGGCCATCACTTAAAAATAAACCACACAATACATTCCACTGCAGCTGCGTTGTTCAATTCTCCTCTGGAACACCCTTGCAACCAGAGCCAAGAATGCCTGTGGCCATTCCAACATCACCTACAGCAGCAGAAATGTCCATGCGGTGTTGTAAGGGAATGAGTTAGTCTGCACCGCTTGGGATGGAGAACTCATCATTTTGTAAATTTTGCAAATACAAATTCACAAAAGGTGAGAGTGGCAACCACAGCTCCCAGCTCTCCTGGCCACGCTGAGGGCAGAGGACCCAGACTCGGGGTCATAGGGCAGTGGGCCAGTGGGGAGGGGCTGGGGTGAGCACGCGGCCAGACTCAACCAATCAGGATCTACATGGATTTCCTAGTTGGCTAGGTCCCATGCCCATGCCTGAATCCTTTTCTATTTTCATTAAATTAATGTAGACTGTTTTGTATAAACTCCTTTCTACTTTTTCTAGTCATTTTATAACCCTAGAATGTATACATATTATAAAGATTCTAATAGTATGAGAAAGCACAAAAAATTAAGCATTTTAGCCCATCTCTGTCACTTTGTCTTTTTTCCACATGGTGTCACAAGGACATGGTGCACACTCTAATTTCAGAGAGGGTGACGAAAGATTGATGAGGACTTACTGAGGTTTTAAAAGATGGTATAAGTTTTCCCCAGACTGGATGGGGCCACCCACGGAGAGATACAGGAGAGGAAGGTCGGGACTGGGTCCTGTGGGAAGCAAGGCTGAAGGTTTCAGGGCGCCAAGCCTTCTAAAGAAGATGGGGGAGTAGGGCGCTGTGGGGTAGGTTAAACTTCCACTTGCGGTGCTGGCATCCCACATGGGCACGGGTTCGTGTCCTGGCTTCTGCTCTTCCAATCCAGCTCTTTGCTTGGGCCTCTGCACCTGCATGGGAGACCTGGAGGAGGCTCCTGGCTCCTGGCTTTGGATCGGCACAGCTCCGGCTGTTGCGGCCATTTGGGAAGTGAACCATCAGATGAAAGACCTTTCTCTGTCTGTCCCTCTCTCTGTGTAAGTCTACCTCTCAAATAAACATATGAAATCTTTATTAAAATTTTTTTAAAAGAAGAGCAGGGGGAGAGAGGAAGCTGCTGTGTGGAGTGAACTCTGCACAGCGCCCATGAGACCTGTGGTGAAGCAAGGGCAGATTTGCCCTTGGGTTTAGGAGCACAGGGTTTCGATGGCCTTGATGGGAGTAATTCTGGGAAGGGTCAGGTGAGACGTGGAAAAGTTTGGTTTGGCTGAGAGAATGGGCAGTGTCGACATGGACAGTGTAAGAAGTCCACCACAAAGGTCATGGGGTGTCAGAGAGGACTTTGGAGCCTGGGCAGCATTTCAAGTGAGAGGCTAAGTACGTGACGTCGATGCCAACATATGAGAGACGGGATGGGAGTGGAAGTGGTAAGGGGCACAATCCAGGGAAAGGGGGGAGGGGGAGGGCCTCTCGCAGGACAGGAGACCATCCTGTAGCTTCACAGGGCTCTGAAGAGGCTGGGCGCAAAGACAAGAGGCTAAGGATGGATCAGCTAATGGTGGGACCAGGAGATCTGAATCTCCCCTTGGTGACACGAGTGAGACCTGATCAGTGAAAAGCAAATCTATTAAACACAGCAGCATGGGCAAGGCTGAGCTGTGAGCTGCTCGGGTCACACTAAAAACTGGGTGCCCGGCTGTGTACCTGGGTTCCCGTGGACTGGGCTTGCTTGCTTGCACCTGCTTTCTCCTCGTTGGGTGAAGACACTGTAGAGCTGGGGTTTTCCAGGGAAGTACAAGGGAGAGAGAGGCAAGGCATTTAAGGCGAAATCCTTGGGAGATACTGTAATGTTAGATTGTGGGGTCTTAGGTTCAATCTTGCTAAGATGAGAAATGAAACAAGAGGTGATTCTGGGGGGTTAGACAATTAGCGATCTCCACGCAGAAAAAAATGCAACATGGTGAGGGGGAGAGCAGTGGGGTGCATTTGAGGCAGAGGAGAGTTTTGGACATTGAGAGAGTCTCAGGAAAAGTTGAGGTTTGGGATGTGTGCTGGCTGGCCTGAGGCAGGGGAGGAGCTGCAAGGGGATGAAATCTGGGGGTGGCAAGGACAGAGGGAAGGGGTTGCGTCCATGTGGGGGATGAAGGGAGACGGCCAGGTGTTGGAGAGGATGGAGTGGGCCAGGAGCCAGCACCCTCAGTGAGCAAGAGGAGGGACTGCTAGCCCAGTGACAGCTGTGGGGGAGGCAGTCCTGTCAGGAGAGAGCATTGCAGGAGTGCGGCTGTGAAGAAGCAGGAGTGGGCTGTGGTCTGGACCTGCAACATCATGGCCATGGTGGCTACTCCTGGTCTTGGAAGCCCAGGCTGGATGATTGAGAGCAGCTGCTGAGATCAACTAGACTCCCAGAGGGCTTAATTCCTGTGTCTCGTTCCCTCCTCGTGGACCCTGCCCTTCTGTCAGACGCTATCCAGACTAAATTCTCAGGATGGAAGCTGCAGGGCATGGACACAGGAGTGCCGCCCACAGCCCAGCCTCCACGACTTCATCTGTGCCTCCTGTCATGTAGCACAGGACACTGGGCATCTCTGCATGGACAGTGGAGACCCTGAGGCCAAGCACGACTCCAGAAACTCACCCACGGCTGTACCCCTAACAGACCCCTCATCTCAGATCTGATCCCGGGCAGCTCTGGCTCCAGAACACATAATCGGATGCCCTCTGGTCCCCCCAGTTACTGAGTGGGGCCCCTGGGCAATCCTCCCTCTTAATGTGCTTGGGCGTCCCTGCCGTGCGTCTCTCAGTGCCTCCCTGGGAAGTTCATTTCTCCACTTATTTATATGAAGTTTCCTAAAATACCTGAGTCCCTGGGGATGGTTGAGGGGCGATGCCCCCACCTTCCCTGAGTTACCCACAAACATCCCCTCCTGGGCAGCAGCTGGGTCTGAGCTCACCACCTGGAAGGCTGCTGGCCTTGGTGGGTCTCAGATCATCTCACTGAAATGCCCCTCGGTGGGCAGGAGGGAGGGGGTACAAGTCAGACTCTGCCATTCTCCTCTATCGCCCACTCCCATCCTGCTGAGCGATGGGGGAACCCAGCCATGGCTGCAGTGGAGGCTTCTCTGGCCTTGATAAATCCCCACACCGGGGGCAGACAGAAGATGGGGCCCCTGTCACTCTGTGACCTCCACTCACTGCTGTGAGGCCAGGCCAGCCATGGGGCCTGCTTTCCTTATCTGAAATGTTGGTGTTGATTCCTGTGGTGAAGGTTAATTGACTAGCGCTTGGGGTAAGCCTGGGAGAGATGCACTCTGCACTATTTCAGCCCCAAATGCCACGCTTGCTTCCTGCTTCTTAGCACGCTTTGTGTCTTGGAAGGTGAGTGTCCCCGGCCACCTCCTCCCAGACACGTGAGTTTGTCTGCCTTTCTCAGCACAACCTGCAAGGTGCATCCACTCTGAATTTGCACTTTTTCCCCAGATTGCCTGCTGTTGCTGCGGGCCCTCCTAATCCTAAACTAAACCTTTCCAGTTAAGAAGTTTCTGTCGGCTGGTATCGTGGCTTAGCAGGGAAAGCTGTTGCTGGCATCCCGTATGGGTGCTGGTTCCTGTCCCAGCTGCTCCACTTCCAATCCAGCTCCCTGTTAATGGCCTCGGAAAAGCAGCAGAGGATGGCCAAAGTGCTTAGGCCCCACATACCCACATGGGAGACCTGGAAGAATCTCCTGGATCCTGGCTTCCGCCTGGTCCAGCCCCGGCCATTGCAGCCAACTGGGGAGTGGAGCAGTGGAGGAAAGATCTCCCTCTGTCTCTCCTTCTCTCTCTGTTAACTTTTGCATACATAAATAAACCTTCAGAAAATCTGGCAAATCTGCTTCATCCCCACTGAGACGTCTGTGGGAAGATGATGCCTCCTTCCCTTGGAAAGCAAAGCCGACAAGGTCAGGAATGGAAGTCAGTTTGTTGCACAGAAACGTTTTCTTCCCAAGCGTCTACCCTCAACAGACAAAGGGAAAAGAGGGGATTCAAAGCCTAATCTTGGGTGAAACTAGAGAGAGTCAGAATTCAAGCTAAACCAGAAGATGCTGAGATCTAAACTGAGCCAACGTGGCATGAACAAACGCTCAGCCTCACTCATCATCAGTAACACAAAATGAACCGCCAACGAGATGCCATTCCACCGCAGCTGGAACGACCACTGTCAGAGAGATAAAAGATGACAAGTGCCAGAGAAGACGCGGAGAAAAGGAAACCCTCGCACCCTGTTGGGAGGAATGTAAACTAACGCAGCTGTTGCAGAAAACCAAACGGAGCTTTCTCAAAAAACTAAAAATGTAACTACCCTCCGATCCAGCAATCCCAATACAGGGGGTAAGACCCAGCGGAATGAAGTCAGCCTGCCACAGACACCTGCTCTCCCATGCTTGCTGCAGCACGGCTCACAACAGCCCACAAAGGGAAATGGCCTCAGTGTCAATCCACCCTAGGAGTGGCTAAGGAAAGTGTGACCCAGCCACACTGGGAATATGCCTCAGTCGTTCACGGATCACGGAGTGTTGTCATTCACAACTCTGACGGAACTGAAGATCATTGTGTGAAATGAAGTGTGCGAAGCACAGAAAGATGTATCCCATGATCTCACCCACGTGAAGTATCCAAAGGTGATCTCATGGAAGTTCAAAGCATAATGGTGGGGCCGGCGCTGTGGGGTAGCTGGTAAAGCCACCACCTGCAGTGGCGGCATCCCTTATGGGCGTCGGTTCGGGTCCCGGCTGGCTGCTCCACTTCTGATCCAGCTCTCTGCTGTGACTTAGGAAAGCAGTAGAAGATGGCCCAAGTCCTGGGGCCCCTGCACCCACGTGGGAGACCTGGAGGAAGCTCCTGGCTCCTGGCTTCAGATCAGCACATCTCCAGCCATTGTGGCCAATTGGGGAGTGAACCAGCAGATGGAAAATTTCTCTCTCCTTCTCTCTCTTTCTCTCTCTGTAACTCTGACTTTCAAATAAATAAATCTTTTATTTTTTTAAAAAAAAAACATGATGCTGAGTGAAATATCCAAAGGGACAAATATCATATATTCTCTCTGATCGGTGACAACTAACCGAGCACCAAAAAGCAAACCTGTTGAAGTGAAATGGGCACTATGAGAAACAGTGACTTGATCATCCCTTGTCCTGACTGTTGATGAACAACTTAATACTTTATCCCTTTTAGTATTTTTTTTGTTCTACTTAATACTATTGGTTGAACTCTTCAATTAACACACAATTATTCTTAGGTGTTTAAATTTAACTGAAAAGTGATCCCTGTTAAATATGAGTGGGAATAAGAGAGGGAGGAGATGTACAATTTGGGACGTGCATAATCGGACTTTCCCCAAACGGTAGAGTTAGAAATGTGCCAGGGGATTCCAATTAAATCTCTTCAAGGTGGCGTGTACCAATGCCATCTCACTAGTCCAAGGGATCAATTTTAGTTCACAATTGATCATAATGATAGGATTAATAGTCAAAGGAATCACATAAACAAGACTAGTGTCTGCTAATACTAACTGATAGAATTAAAAAGGAGAGAAGGATCCAACATGGGAAGTGGGATACACAGCAGACTCATAGAATGGCAGATGTCCTAAACAGCATTCTGGCCTCAGAATCAGCCCGTAAGGCATTCAGATCTGGCTGATAAGCCCATGAGAGTATTTTATGCATGGAAAGCCAAGACATTCTGGCAAAACAAAAACAAAAACAAAAACAAACACCTAAATGAAAGATCTCTGCAAGTGAGATCCCAGTGGAAAGAATGGGCCATCAAAGAAGGAGGTACTTTTCTCTGAAGGGAGGAGAGAATTCCACTTTGACTATGACCTTGTCTAAATAAGATCGGAGTTGGTGAACTCAAAAGGCTTCCATAGCCTTGGCAACCCATGACAAGAGCCTAGGGAGATTACTGACACCATAAACAAGAGTGTCAAATTGTTAAGTCAACAACAGGAGTCACTGTGCACTTACTCCCCATGTAAGATCTCCATACTTAATGTGTTGTACAATGTAAATTAAAGCTATAACTAGTACTCAAACAGTACGTAACACTTTGCGTTTCTGTGGGTGCAAACTGTTGAAATCTTTACTTAATATATACTAAATTGATCATCTGTATATAATGATAATTGAAAATGAATCTTTATGTGAATGGAATGGGAGAGGGAGCGGGAGATGGGATGGTTGCAGGTGGGAGGGAAGTTATGGGGGGAAAAAGCCACTGTAATCCAAAAGCCGTACTTTTAAATTTATATTTATTAAATAAAAGTTAAAAAAATAAAAAAAGCATGATGATGGTTGGCATAGGTTGGGGAGGGAAGAAAGGAGAAAGTTGATCAATGGATACTAAGTCAAAGCAAGATAGCAGCAAGAAGTTCTAGGGCTCTGTTGCACAGTAAGGTGACCATAGATTTCTCTCTATTAGAAAGAAAGGTAGTCTTTTCAATGTTTTTACCAAAAAGAAGGGTTACATTTTTAAAGAGAAGGATATGTCTCCCCCAGTTAAAAATTACATAATTTATGCATGTATCAAAACATCACATGGCAACCCATAAATATGTAAATCTATAAACGTGTGTAATTTTCATGTGTCAAAAAACATTTAGGGGCTGGCACTGTGGTGTAATTGATAAAGCCGCTACTTGTGACACTGGATTCCCATATGAGTGCTGGTTTGTCTTGTGGCTACTCCACCTCTGATGCAGCTCACTGCTAATGGCCAGGGAAAAACAGCGGAAGATATTCCAAAAGATTGGCCCCCTGCACCCACGTGGGAGACCTGGAAGAAGCTCCTGGTTGCAACCTGTCTGTGCAGTGGCCATTGTGGCCATCTGGGAAATGAACCACTGGATGGAAGATCTACCTCTCTCTCTCTCTCTCTCTAATCTGTGACTTTCAAATAAATATATTTTTAACAAATTTTAAAATGTGTAATAAAAATTAAATAAAAAAACAAACAGATGATGGAACTTGGGCCACCTCTGAAGGGAGAACAGGAGGCAGGGGTTTCTTTAGAAGAAACAGCCCATGCTGAGAAAGAGGGGTCCAGGCAGGGCAGAGGGACAAGGGAATCTCCTCTATGAGCTTCACAGCCAGAGAACCTGACCACATGTAGGACAGAAACCACGTGGTCCCACTTTCCTCCTGACATGGACAAACATGGTGGTTCCCACGCCCTGCAGTGGCAGGCACCATCTGGCAGAGGCCAGATATACAGAGATAAAATCACCGTGCAGAATCTTCTCTCTGGAAAAGCAACATAGCTAGCGAGGGGCAGACTGAGGCCTGGAAACACAGCAGGAAGCTCCTTCCCAAAGGCTCCAGACTGGAGGGAGTTTGAGTGTCTGAGCATCTCCCAGAGCGCTGAGTCACCCTGGTGCACACACACAAACACCGGTGTCCAACCCCACCAGGGCTGCTGCTCCCCACGGGCACTGCCAGCTGCTGCAGTGGCACAGGCCACTCTGCTTCCACTCCGGAAAGGGTTCTACAGAGTCCCCTGGAAAAAGAGGCCCCAAGCAGGACTGCTGTCACTCACAGTCTAGTGCCCCCACCCTCACCAAGACTCAGAGGAGCACAACTGATGGGTTCATGACATCCTGGTGTCCAGCACCAACGCCCGGGTGTGGATGTAGGCAAAGGCCATGTAAACAGGGGTGGAACAGGCGAGTGATGGATCTCATGCCTGTTGGAGAGCAAAGGAGCTGAAGAACTGCCTCCAGCTAACCTAAGCACACAGGAAGTAATGTTAGGTCTGTGCCACATATTACAAACAGTACAGGAAGTGAACACCACATGTAAATTACAAAGAACACTCTCTAGCTGGGCTTTTCCAACAGACTGATGCAGTAGTTGTTCAGGGACTTGAAGCAAAGTATGGGCTCCAGAATGAGAACAAAGATAATACGTGCAGTTGACAGGACTCACTGCTCAGGGAGACGAAAGATAACACCAAAGAACAGCATCACAGCGGCTTTCCAGACTAGGACATTTGTAAGATGGGAGAATGCGCTCACACACAGTAGCAAAAACTTGACGGTTATCCACACTGACATGGAGTGTGAAAGCATGGCTATTACCCATACAGTTGTCTGGAGGACACTGATGTAGCAGGTGGATCCCAGGGAAGAACTGCTCAGTGGGAAGATGGTGTAAAAGATTAGTGAGCTGGTTGTGTACACAGCCTTCTAATATATCCACATTTAGTGCTAAGTAACTGTGCTAATGATGGCTGTGAAATAATACAGTTAACAAGTAAAAGTATGAGTTATGTAAAAATGAAATCATAAATAATTTGATTGATCACGCTAGATCATTCTAATAAAAGACAGCAGGGGTGAGGGAGAAACATAAAAATACACTACTTTTGCTGGGGAAATTATTGTGTATTGTTTGGGTTTTGATCTTAAGACTCCTAAATTAGGGAAAAATATGGAATTTTAGTAAAGCAGTGAGATTCTGGTTGAATAAAAAAGGATGGGCAGAAAATACCAGTCCATTCCAGTCAAAAGGCTGGGGATCTGCATGCTAACATCAAAATTCAATGTCAAAAGCATTAGAATTCTTACACTGATCAAGAGATCATCCCCAATGATCGTGTAATTTTTACAAATTTCACATCACACTGATTACAGCAACATCAACTGGCACTGCAGGTAGACACTGGAGCAGTAGCATTACGTGAGCACAGTGCCCTTCTGTCCTGGACAGAGAAAATGTCACCATACATGTATGTTTGGCTAGGAGCTAAATAATAAAAAGCCAATGACCATGAGAGTAATTAACATTCTATGGCACTCCCTGTGTGGCAGGCAGTATTCTAAGCTCCTTTTTATGTGTTAACATATTTAGGCCTTACAGTATCATTCAGGGGTAGGGATACTATTATCTTCATATGCCAAATAAAGGAAACCCAGGCACAAAGGTTAACAACATAATTGGCATATTCTGCCTAAAAATAAGTGCTGGACTCTAACTTCAAATCAAGAATGCACCTTGAAAGGTCCAGGAAACATTTATCAGATTGTCCTAACCTGCTGGTCCTCAGCCCCACCCCTCAGACCTTGGGTCTATCAAGAGTCGGAGTTCCATTTCTCTTCTTCCATTTCTCTTCCCTTTTATCTCGGCTTTCCTTAACCCACTTACTTCATTAAGAGACTATGGCAAGAGTGTGCAGTCTCTGAGGCCGGATCACACACCATGGTCTTCAAGAACACTTCTGGGAGCCTCTGCATTACCATGTAGGAATTCATCAATGCAGACTCCCATGTTGGCGAGGCCACATCCGGCACCCCCAGTCTATGCTGAGACTTGTCTTCCAGCCAAGTTTTCCAATGTGTGGCTCAGGTTGTCTTCAATTCTCCAGACAGGCCCTATATCCCTGTTCAACACCACTTGGCATACTTTTTCAGGCATCTGTATCACATGGAACAGAATCACCCAGTAGGGCCCATTAGACTTCACATCTACAAAATATTGAAATCTAATCAAGTGATGGCTGCTATGAGAACTGAGTTTTGGTTTGCCGAGATTTTTCCTTGGAAGACTCTTCCTACCCGTCACACTCCTACCTGTCACTGTCTCCCTCATACTTCAGTTTGAATGCTCTCCAGGAGGGCCCATCCAGAACACTCCAACCCAAAGCACCATTAACAAAGTGGTATGCTGAAGCTAAAACTTGATCTCATAGAAATAGAAAATAGAATGGTCACGAACACAGGCGAGGGTGGGGCCAAGAGGGACTTTGCATCTCCTCTTGCTGAGATGAGTGAGGCTGTCAGTGAAAAGCTGGTTAAACACAGCAGAATGGACAAAGCTGAGCTGTGAGCTGCAGTTTACAGTAGAAAACTAGATATCCAGGGGCCACCGCGATGGCAGAGCAGCTAAAGCCACTACTTGCAACACTGGCATCCAACAGGGGTGCTAGTTAACGTCCCAGCTGCTCCACTTCCAATCCAGCTCCCTCCTAATATGCCCTGGAAAAGCAACAGAAGTTGGTCAAAGTGTCTGGCCCCTGTCGCCCACGTGGGACACTCAGATGAAGCTCCTGGCTTTGGCCTATTGAGGAAGCAAACCAGTGGCTTAAAGATATAACTCTTTCAAGTGAATAAATAAATCTTAAAATAAAAAAATACTAGGTACCCAGCTGTGTGTAGGGGCACAGAGATCAGCACTTGGGTTGCATCTGTTCCCTGTTCACTGGGTGAAGAAGGAAGAGACAGGGAAAGGTTGGTTAGCACAAGTAAAAATATGGTTAGATGGGAGGATTAATTTCCAGCATTCTACTGCACAGTAGTATGACTATAATTAACATCAATTTATTGTATATTTAAAAATAGGTAGAAGAGGGGCCGGCGCGGTGGCACAATGGGTTAATGCCCTGGCCTTAACCCAGGAAGCACCGGCATCCCATATGGGCACAGGTTCAAAACCCTGCTGCTCCACTTCCTATCCAGCTCTCTGCTATGGCCTGGGAAAGCAGTAGAAGATGGTCCAAGTCCTTGGACCCCTGTACCCACATAGGAGACCCAGAAGAAGCTCCTGGCTCCTGGCTTTGGATTGGTGCAGCTCTGGCTGTTGAGACCAACTGGGGAGTGAACCATCGGATGGAAGACCTCTTTCTCTCTCTCTGCCTCTGCCCTCTCTGTGTTAACTCTGACTTTCAAATGAATAAATAAATCTTTAAAAAAATAGGTAGAAGAAAGGATTTTTGAATGTTTGCAACACAAAGGAATGAAAAATGTTTCAGGTGATAGATAGACTAATTGCCCTGATTTCATCATTACATATTATACCCCATATATATTCATAACTATTATGTGTCAATTAAATTTTTTCAATTAAAAATACAATAAACAATATTAAGACAGGACTATATCAGTTCCTTGTTTATTTCCTTCTTGACAACAAGTAATAGCAATCAATTAAATTATTCATATTATCTTCTTTGGCAAGCAGTCAGCAAAATATGACCAAGAGGCTGCCTACCTTCTTCTTACAATAAAGTATTATTGGAACACCGCCACGCTATGTTTATGCAGTATCCACATACATTTGACACAACAGTGTTAGCAGTTACCACAATTCATGTGGCCAATAAAGCCTAAACTATTTTCTGTCTAGTCCTTTAAGAATGCCAACACCTGCTGTGGAGCTGTGGATTGCCTATGGTTCTCCATGCATTTCAGAGCACCCGGCATTTAGTAGGTACATAACACCAGTCTGTTCCAAGAACTAAGTGCCTACAGGTCCAGTGATAAGTCTTCCTATCCTGGGAGGTTCTTTGGGGCAGGGCAGGGCTAGACAGGAGCTGGGTCAGTTCCCCTTCTGATCTTCCAGGGTCTAAGGGGCCCCAAAGACGACAGCCCTGGAAGAGAGGAACCAGGACTCCAGAGGCCTTAGGTTCAAGGTCAGTTCAAGGAGACCCACCCACTTCTTGACCCCTTCTGCTGTTTCTGGGGAAGAAAAGGGAAGGGAACGGCTCTCTCTTTCATGTCCCTCTGCTTTGGCCGACACTCGGGTAAGACTGGGCCCACTTTCAGAGAATACACAGTCCTCTGCCTCTGTCCTCCCCAAGAAACATGGGCCGGCTACACCCAGGGGAGCAGCATTCATCTCCTTCATAGCTCCTCCCACCCCAGCAAAGAGCAAGGTATAGTGACCGCCAGGCCCTGGTGCCACTGCCTGGTTAAAAGTTATCCTGGACGCGATGGGGTGAAGACGGCAGGCTGTATGGGCACGTGCATGCCTGTGGGCACCAGGTCATCTGTGTGCACATGCACAGGGTGCAGGCAGGGCGCAGGGCTGCACTGTGTCTTTGCCTCTGATGTCATGAGTTGGGTGCTCACAGGTTACTGCACACACATCTCCTTCTTTTAATCTGGTCTCACTTCTCATCTCTCAGGCGCAGGAGGGGAAAACTGTCCCCTGTCCCCACCCTGCACTCCCAGAACCCACGTCTTCACCTCGGGTTCCAGGCTTCCAGGGAGGGTGGTGTCTACTGAGGTCTATGGGCTGAAGTCTTACGGCCAGAGCCAGATTCCAGCAGTCCCAAGTCCTGCAGGGCTTCCTGTAGCTGCTCCCGGGCAGTGCCAATAAAGGAATTCTTCAGGAAGGCGGGCAGGCCTCCCACACCATCACGCAGGGTGTACAGGGGCACCCGCACCAGGCCCAGCACCTGGGAAGGAGGCAGACAGCAGACACTGGGATCCCCAGTAGCTCAACCCCTTAACCAAACCCTCTCTCTATGCGATCTTGCTACAGCAATCTTAAAATCTCAGCAGAACCAGCCCCAGTGCTCAGACCTCAGTGAGGCTCCACCTGCCACAGGCCAACCACCAGACATGGTACCCCGTTCCATAAATTCTACTCCTTCCCACATCTCTCCCAGACCCGTAGTGCCCCGACTCCAGGAAACTGGCTCAGTCTTTCACTGTGGCTCTCAAACCATGGAGTCTAGACCGCCTGTATCAGCATCACCCGGGAACCTGTCATAAATGCAAATTCTCGGGGCCTCCTCCTGGCCGCTAACCAGCAGCCACTGGGGTCAGGTTGCAGTAATCAGTGCTTTAACAAGGCCTACCCTCCCCCCCTCCGCGAGCGACTCTGATACTTGACAATGTAACTGGACAGCTTCCACCTAAGAAAACAGGGAGCCCCAAATTAAGGGCCTAGGTATCAGTATCACAGATAGGGAGGGGCGAGGAGAGGCCTTGGCAGGGAGGGCAGGTGGGCAGTATCACCCAGATGAGAACTGACCAGGATGAGCGCTACCAAGATGCAGGGGAGGTGGATAGGGGGCGTGGCCAAGACCACCTTTCAGATGGGCTTTTGGAGAACCCAGGAAGGCAAGGGGGCTTGGGTGAGGGGTTGGGGCGGGGCTCCAGCCGGCCCCACCTCCAGCCCGTGGTCCTTGGCCTGCGGGGCGCCGGCCTCCACGGCCACCAGCTGCTCCAGCTCCAGCCGCTTGGCGTAGAAGTGCGCCACGACGCGCTGCCCGGCCGCGGCGTGCGAGCTGCGGTAGTCGGCGCGCTCCACGCGGAAGGCCGACGCCGCCTCGCCCAGCTCCTCGCGCAGCTCCCGGTTCAGCCCGTCCTCCAGGCAGCCGTCCCGCGCGTCCACGAAGCCGCCCGGGAAGCCCAGGCGCCCGTCGAAGCGCATCTGCATCTGCGGGATGGGAGAGGCGGGTTGGCTGCGGCGCCCAGGGGAGTACGCGGGGCGGGGTGGCCCGGCGACCCCTCCTCACCAGCACGGCGTAGCGCAGCGGGATGCGGCCGAAGAGCTTGCCCGGGTCTGGCGCGTAGAGCATGGCGTGGCACGCATGCCGCCAGCCGGGCCCCAGCGCCAGGGCCTCGGACAGCTCCAACCTGCGGGACCCGGCCATGGCCAGGCTTTCTGCTCCACGTTCCGGGAGGCCTCCTAGGCAAAGCGATGGGTCATACCTTGGACCAATCTGAGCCCGGGCGAGGCCGCCAGGGCCAATCACTGCAAGGGTGGGGGCGGGACCTAGCTTGCTGAGGCGGGGCTCCGCTGACGAGCCTAGGCGCAGCCAATCAGGACGTGATTTGCTGCCCTGCTGAAGCTGGGAGGCGGAAAGCCGCCGGGTTAGGCCTCTGTCTTGAGAGTGGCTGGAGGCGTGGGCGTGGCGGGAGCCGGAGAGCAGGTGGTGACGTCATTGTCTGCGCCGGCGGAGTTGCCTGGGAGGTTAGAGGAGCTGGGAGGCTTGGAGGGTTGTGTAGCCTGAGCGGGATTTAGATCGGGGAGCTGGATGAGCGACCCTGAGGTCTAGGCTTGGTATGGTTGGTACAGGAAGCAGCGGGAGGCAGGGCTGTCTCCAAGACTTTAGCCTGTGCTAGGGCACTGTGAGTGCAGAGGCGCGATGGGTTACCAGTTCAGACTCAGTAGGCGTTGGAACGCGGAGGTGGCACTTGGGCAAGGGTGAAGTCAGTTTCCGGCCTCTTGATATCGCGGTCATTGAGATAGAGATAGGGGAGGGGTGGGCTTTGCCAAGTGTAGTGCTAGTCGGGAATTGTGCCTATAGCCACTGGCATTATGTTGGGGGGGTGTGGCGTATGGAAGGGAGGGTGCACCTGAAGAAACAGCCCCTTGTGTCTGACCTTCATGCCCCCTCAGATCTTTGAGCAGTGGGCAGAGCGTGGAACAGGTGGCACAACTTAAAACAGGGCCTCCCTAGAAGCCTGGAACCTGAGGTGAAGACATGGGTTCTGGGAGTGCAAGACAGGGATAGGGATAGGGATGCAGGATCCCTTGCCCACCAGGCCTTCCCCTCCCTGAAGGTATCCCCCACAGCAAGAGTCAGTATTTATTGCACAGTGGAAGGAGAGGCAGCCCCCTGACAGGGCCTGTGCATCAAGTCGGCTTGTAAAAGACAGCCAGTGTAGGAAGGGCCCAGAACCCAGACAGATGCAGCCTGTGACTTTCCCATGTCACTGATCCCTCAGGTCCCAGCCTGCTCAGCTGTTAAATCGGGATGCTGTCAACCCTCTAGGGGTTGTAAAGATCTCAGAAGAGTACCTAGAAGGAAATGTAGCCGCTCTTGGAGTCTAGTGTGGGGTCCCAAGGGATGGAGCTCAGACACACTCGGCGCCAGATTGAGGTGTTACTGGCGTCATCTTTCCCAGCTTAGTATTTTTTTTTTAAGTTTTTTTTTTATTATTATTATTTGAAAGAGTTACAGAGAGGCAGAGAGAGAGAGGTGTCTTCCACCTGCTAGTTCACTCCCCAGATGGCTGCAATGGCCGGAGCTGTGCCAATCTGAAGCCAGGAGCCAGGTGTTTCTTCTGGGTCTCCCAGGTGGGTGCAGGGGCCCAAGGACTTGGGCCATCTTCCACTGCTTTCTCAGGCTACAGCAAAGAGCTGGATCGGAAGTGGAGCAGCTGAGACCAGAATCGGCGCCTGTATGGGTTGCTGGCACTGCAGGTCAGGGCTTTAACCTGCTGTGCCACAGTGCCAGCCCCCCAGCTTAGTCTTGAGTGTTAGGGCATAGATACATCTGCAGCAACAGGCAATTGACAGTACTGTACACATAACCCAACTGCTGTTAGCCTGCTAGGGGCCCTGGGGGTTTGGGAATGGCCTTGGTAAAGCATTAGCATCACTTTGAAAAAGCATATAGCAACTGCCAGTTTCAGGGTCCCACAACGGCCAATTGAATCAGAATCACGGGTGAGGAAGGGGCCTAGATAGTCTTTCAAGTGTATTTCTGGTGACAAATAACCAACTAGGATTGAGAATGCTGGGTTGGGGTGAAGGTCGTTGTGCCTAGTAGTCAGGACACTCACATCTCATATTGGAGTACCTGGGTTCAGTATCCACCATGGCTTTGACCAGCTTCCTGCCAATGTGCATACTGGGCAGCAGCAGCATGCCTCAAGCAGTGAAGATCCTGCCACTCAAGTGGGAGGCTTGGATTGACTTCCTGGCTTCTGGCGTTCACCTCAGCCCAGCCTTGGCTGTAGGAGCTATTTGGGGAGTGCACCATGGATTAGAGCACTCTCACTCTGTTTTTCTCTCTCTTCCTGCCTCTCTCTTTGCCTTTGAAATAAATTAAAAGAAAAAACCCATGAGATCCAATATCCTCCCTTCCTCCCTAGCATTGCAAAGGTGTCTTGATTTCTCTCTTAAGTGGGTTACATTTAAGAATTTAGGGTCGAATATGTCCAGAGTCTGGGTTTTTTTGTCTTTTTCCTCTGGTTACTTGAGTAGACTTTCAAGTGTGGGTTCAGCTATTTCTTAGATGACATGAAAATCTACAAAACCAAGACATCATCCAAACAGGATCTATTGACTGAGACCAGAGCTGCTTCAGGATGAACGTATATGGAAGCCACACCACTCCGCCCCACCAAGCACATCATTCCTTTCGAACTGCTGTCTGCCTCTGCACCTCTGCACCCTAACCCTCCACACCACCAGCCCACCCAAACCCTCCTCTACCATTCTGAGGACGATTGCCCAGGAACCAAGGCTGGAGACAGAGGCTGAGCCTTGTGACACAACGGCCCTCAAAAACTTAAACTCTGGCCAGTCAATTCATCCTTTTAAAAATAATTAGGAAAGGAATGAAGCGTTTACCTTATCCTTTTTCTATGGATTCTACCTCAGGACTACCTGATAGCTGAATGGGGAAATATTTCCCTAATATAAGAAAGAAGGAACTAATCAAAATTTAAACTGGAAGGGTTTAGTGTATCCTAGGGAAGGATCATCAGTAGTTACTGTGAAAGCACAAGCAGTTAACATGTACCTCATGATGGAAAAACATGCTACTTCCCATGAAATATTATTGGAAACAGTTTGAACCTAAACTTCAATTTAGCCATTTATCAGGAATATGAAAGAACACCATTTTAAAATAAGACATCACAGATGGTTGCCTATAGAAACATATATATATATACAACATATATATAGCTTAGTATACACATATAACACACACACACACATATATATGGCTTAGTATACACCCTTGTATTTATTTGCTTTGTCAGCTGAGAGGACCTAGAAACTGATACTCCAGTGTCAACAGTACATCTAGTGTTCCAATCTTGCTTTGATTTCTGAGAGAATTTTTTACAAAATGGTACCAAGGTTCTCTGGAGAAAAGGCTGATGTAAGCATTTCGGCAGGAGCTATACAAAATGAGTCCATAGTGAGCCTGGATGACCTTGTGATTCCGAGAGAGAGAAGAAAAGCCATATTGATGGAGTTTGTGGAAGGGACAGGGACAACAAGAGACAGCTGAGAGAGTTCCCAATGGTTAAGACTGATACCATTTCAGCAACAAAATAATTTGATTGTAATTCAAAGTGTAAAATAAATACAGATCCATACTGATATTCTCTAATAATGTCTAAGTATATAAATAAGGGAGAAGACAACAATTTCCCATGCAGAAGGATGTGAACATTGGGGAAATGCGAGGCGGGAGGAGTGACTCTAACTCTGCAGAAACTGATCAAACACTGCCTTGGCCAGGTGATCCAGGTGTCCACATTGAGAGGTCACATTGGTAGAATACACCCTGGATGTCATGTGAAGAAGAGGGAATTTTTTTTTTTTGACAGGCAGAGTTAGACAGTAAGAGAGAGAGAGACAGAGAGAAAGGTCTTCCTTCCGTTGGTTCACCCCCCAAATGGCCACCATAGCCGGTGCACTGTGCCAATCTGAAGCCAGGAGCCAGGTGCTTCTTCCTGGTCTCCCATGAAGGTGCAGGGCCCAAGGACCTGGGCCATCCTCCACTGCCTTCCCAGGCCACAGCAGAGAGCTGGACTGGAAGAGGAGCAACCGGGACTAGAACCCGGGGTGCCGGTGCCATAGGCAGAGGATTATCCTAGTGAGCCGCGATGCCTGCCAGAAGAGGGAATGTTTGCCTGAGGTCTTCCTCCCCAGAAGATGCAACTCCAGTCTAAGGTCAAGAAAAACATCAAGCCAGTTCCCACCGAGGAACATTCTACAAAATACTGACCAGGAAGCATCAACATTTTGAAAGGAATGATCTCAGTCCCTTAGGGCTGCTGCAACACAACTCCATAGACTGACAGCTTAAAAGAAGCAGGCATTTATTTCTCACAGTCCTGGAGGCTGGGATTTCCAGGGCCAAAGTGTTGACAGGTTCTGATTCTCCTGAGGGCCACCTCCTGGTTCCCAGGAGGCCATCTTGTTGCTACAGCCCCACTTGTCAGAAGGAGAAGGGAGCTCTCTGGGGTCTCTTTTGAGGGCCCTGTCTCCATGAACTAGTCACCTCCAAATACTGACACACTGGGGATTATGATTTCAACAAAGGAATTTGGGGGCTGGGGCAAGAGGGGAGTACAAATAGCACTCATGAAGCACAGTGACTGATAAACTCACAACTCAGAAGACCCCAAGGGAACTTGACATGACTGAATGCAGTGGGGTCTCTTGGAGCAAAAATAGGGCATTGGGTAACAGCTAAGGGATTCTGAATTAAGCTTGATACCAACAATATAATTGGCTCATTATTGTAAGAGATATACCACAGTAATTCATGGATTAATAATGGGCAGCTGGGTGAAAAGTATAGGAGCCCTGTACTATCCACAATGTTTCTGAAATATAAGACATCTAAAAAATAAGGTTTATTTTCTGGCAGATCAGGAAGATGCAATCAGCAAAACCTGGCCTGAAGGAGAGTTTACAGGACACATTACCTGGTGTTTTCAATAAGTTAATTACAAGGAAAAAAGAGACCTGGAAGTAAAATCCATACATCAGTAGATTCAGGAAACTCATCAATGGAAAGGATTGGGCCTTAGTTGGATTCTAATTTAAACAAACATAGAAAGTGAAACAGAGTCCCCTCTAGAAGGCCCTGAATGCAAGAGCCAGGTACCATCAGGCACCAGTCTCCCAGCCTGTCGCCCTTAGCTCAGTGTTCTCACCCCACATGTATGAAAGGAGTT